TATTACTGTGGGGTTTATAAATACCTAACTACAACCCTAGTGAACAGGTTTTACTCACCTGCTTTGACATTCTTGTTTCCTTTTCGCATTCCCCATTTCTGTTCATGATCTCGTTTCGCCCTCCTCATATGTTTTATTACTGTTCTGTGTCTTAAGGTTGTTAGAGAATGATGTATTTAAGTCTAGAATCAAGTGACATGCGCTGTGTCTAAGCTGGGGAAGAAGCCTGTAAAAGTATTGTTTTTCAGTTAATTGATAGTTAAGCAGAACTTTGTATCTCACATGGATTGTAATTGCTATATTTAGAAATATTTTAACTTCTTATAATCCCTCCAAAGTTCCTGGCTTCCTTCAGTATGAGGTCCTTTATCAGAGGTGCACTGACAATTCCATTACCATGGTGCTAGTGCAGCATCCAGAGCACAGAGGGTGTAATACAGCTGTGTATGGGACATGTCTTTGAGTGAAAGTAAGGCAGTACGTTCATCCCATTGGGTCGAGTTAACTAGGAGAGACTGTGACTGAAAGAATCAGCTTTCATAACCCAAAGCTGCCCCAGCTCAGAGCACAGCACCTCACAGGAGCAGGGCTCAGTGGTCTCTGTGTGTGGTAACACAGAGTGAAAAGAGAACAGGGGGACTGCAGGACAGCCCGTGCCAACAGAACCGTAAGCTGCTTGGCCTTGCACCCACCACCATTCCCCCATGAGCAAGGCAGGAAAGCCCTATCCTTAATAGCAAGTACAGTACCTCATATATAAATAATGTCTTGGCAATTATGTGAATCAGAAAGACAGTTTTGAACAGAGGTATCATTCATCCAGCTAGTGCTGTACTTAAGCAGCTGTGATCAAATGACAAAAGCTGGCAATGAGGCATAGCGTATCACAAAACTAGCCAGTAGAGGAAATAGCAGTGCTAATCTAGCAGGACTAGACTTCAGCTCTAAATCAAGTGAATTAACACCACAATGAAAGCTACTTCAATCTTAGAGCGAAAGCTTAATATAGCAGGAGCCCATTTTCCTGTTTTTGTTAGATTGTTTTTGTTCTTGCTGGAAGGGTGGTGATTTAACTTGGCTGGGGAAGATCATGGTAGCCACACTGTATTCACTATACTTGCTAAGCCTGGTTCTTGCACTTGAATTCTTACAACCAGCGCTGATCAGTTGTCGCAATATTGGAAGGAATTGAAATGTTTATGTAGGAGGAGCGTGGTTCTGTGATTTTCCCCCCCTTCTTCCTAAGTGAGGCTGTCATGGCACAGGCCTCTAGACTAGAGCGGGAAAATATCCAATCTGAAGCCAAACTCTGTTCTCAAGTGTTTCACTGTCATACCTTGTCTGGTGGAGGCCTGCAGAAGCCTATCTGCTACTGCGAGCCAGCTCGGCAATGGGCCAGTAGCAAAGGGCTACGCTGAGGTCTTAGTTCTACGTTACGCTGAAAATAGCTCCTAAGGTTTTACTATTTAAGCTTGAAATTTGGGTGCAGTGTAGATGTGCTGTTGTATAAGGTAGCCAACTACAAGGTGTCTCTGCACCCTTGCTTTTAGCATGGGTTTATACTTCTATTGCTGCAGAAGTCACAATGTATAAAATAAGAATGGTATCTAATTTTCTTAAGACCATCCATAAGGGAACTCTGAAAACAAACATTTTACTTTTTGCCAGAGTTGCTATTCCCAGAAGAAGTTTAATCTAGTAATTTGCTAGTTAACATGTTGAGTGTGTTCCTTTATTGTGGAAAGAATTGGACAATAAGGATTTACTAGTCACTGAGATTGCTGCTAAGTTCTGTACAGCTATTGTTTGAATTATATGTAGGTTATGCTATGGGCCAGGAGGCTGTGTGTATATCTGAAAGTTACTGTTCCTGCGTTAGCCATAAAAATATCTGTTTTCTTCTGTCTCTGGTGAAGAAAAACTGATGTATAGTACACATGCCAGGATCGTTCTATAAACCAGCATCTACTGCTGACCTCATTTAACAGTCCTCCAGAGCAGTCACAGTAAGCATGCCAGAAAATCAACCCACCTAAAAAAAAAAAAAAAAAAAAAAAAAAGCATTTATTGAGCAGAGTTAAAAAAATAAATTCTATGTGTGACCTTCAACAGCCATGGAAAAAAAAAAAAAAGAAAACAAGAAAAACAACCATGCAGTTTTGGACAGTCTCAATGATGTTCTTAATTTCTGTTCACAAATTTACCAAGAGGAACTCCCTCTGACCAGTTCTTGTATGGAAAAAAATGTGCCTGCAGCCAAAGCTAGACAGTAATAAATAATTTTCTAAAGCTAAACCAGAGCTGCATGGACAGAGACCGTCAGCGAGGTGAGAATTTTTGGCAAAATATTGATCAGACCACAAACACATGAGAGAGTGGGTTTATTGATAGGCTGCTGTTCTATTAATTGAACTTTAGGGAGTAGTATAAGCTACCTCACCATCTGTCACACAGCCAGATTGGCACAGATTCAGGGCTACAGGAGACCCGACATCTAATGAGTAACTAGACGTTCTGCTTAGCTTATGCCTAAATACTGAGCCATTTTCTAAATAATTCCCACCTGTCCTTGGAACCTCACAACCCAAGGTTGGATGTACTAAGCAGTGTTGTGAAAGGAGGCTAGAAAAAAACAGGGAGTTTATCCGAAAACATTTCCTGCCAGAGCCTGGGAAGAGAAGATGGCATGCTTTTCTCCATCTTTTGAGCTGAATTTTGCTAATGTACTGTTTGCAAATTATATCAGTCAGGAAAAATCACTCTCTGTCAAAACTGCTCCATGTTGAGTCCTCTTATCAAAAGGCGAAGGACAAGCCATAATGTCAGCACACGCTGCATTTTCTCCTCAGTTGCAGTCAAGGGTCCTGTTAAGCAATCCTGCAAGGAAACATACGGGCACGCTTCATGTTCTGGATAAGCAGTTGTTGTACCTCGGTCATACATTTGTTAGTTAAAAGATATCACGTGCACATGTTGGGATGTATTACGAGATGGTCTGTAAAGATATCTTTGAAAATACTGGGGGCTTTCTGACAGGGAACCAAACCTGCCTCCCATTAAAATTGCTAGCAAAACTTACCTCATTTTTGATACAATCAGGATGAGGTTCTGGGTAATAACAGGACTTACATGTGAAAATTAAGGAGGGGAAAAATGCATCCAGGCATAGGTTTTGGCAGAGTGGGGTGCTTTTGTCAACAGCCATGAGTGCTGTACTTGCACTTAGTGCTCAAATTACAGCTACAGATCCTGAGAGGTAAAGAATTGTAGCATTTGCCTTGGCTTCCCCACAGAGCTAAGTGTGCAGACCTCTGGTGGTTTTATCCCTCACTAAACTGGATTTGGATTTTTAACTTTGCTGCTGCTTTTCTTTCAGGAAAATTTTATAACATAGGAGACCAGAGGGGCCATGGAGAAGATCACTGCCAATTTGTGGACTCGTTCTTAGATGGAAGGACAGGACAGCAAGAAGATCTACCAGTCAAAGACGGTAATTCCTTAAGAATGTCTCTGCAGCAAACCTTGGCAATTCCTTTGTTTGTCAGTTTCTTTCTCCTGCCAGTGAATTGAGGGCCCACCACTGGGGTGGGCAATGGAAAGGGACTACCAGCTCTGCAGGCAGAAGGGAGTCAAGAAGATTTTGAAGATGAGCAAATGTCTTATTAAAAGAATGTTGTGGCTCAGGTTCTGTTTGGTAGTAAACAGCCTCTCTCCTGTTTAAACATTCCAACAGATTATTCATATTCACATTTGCTATTACATATTTAAACCCAAGCACAAATTCGAGTTTGCAAAGAGGCATGAACTGTTATGTTCATACTAGCAAGGTTGATGTAAAATGCCATAAATCATCAGCTGAGCACTAAACAGCTCTGTTTAGTGCTAATGAGAAACAAAAAAGTTATTACTGGAAAATATAATTCATGCTGCAGCAATTCTGAATACTCTAACTCAGACTGGGTGCACAGAGTTCCAGTCTGGTCTAAGTGGACAGGGGAGGGGATGTCCTAAATGCAGCCGTGACCTGCCTGGTTCTTTTTTCACATGTTGCTTAAGCACCTCGAGTGTAAGCAACTTGTACTTCTGTCAGCTGAACCTCCGCCTTGCTTGTTTGCAGCATCCCTGGTGTGTTTATTCCACTCCCTTGCAAGAACATGGGCCATACTGGTGGAAGTGTGCATTCTGAATGTGTAACGGGATATTTTGATGAGAAAAACATCAGAATAGTTTCCAATACAGTGTCACTGTGATGACTCAAACTTCATGGATGTAGTGCTTCATTTATGAAACACCTTACAAAAGTATATAAATGATTTGCGTTAGGTGTGGTAAACTGAAGTAACTAAATCTTTTACAAGTTTTTCAGAAAACAGGTAAATGATCTGAAAAGTATTTTTTTATGATTTTAAAAATGATTTTATAAATAGAAGAAAGCTCTCTATGCCATAAGTTTACAAAACACATAAAGTCAATTTGTTTTAAGCTACTGAATTTAATTGACTGGATGCATGAGATACAATCATTTTTAATTTAAAAAGCAAAACTAAAACAAAAAAACAACAAAACAAACAAAAGCACACACCCAAAACAAACCTGTAGCTTGTATTTCTCGTAAATGAACCAAACAGAGGAAAGAACAGACACTGTCCGTTGCTGCTCACGTCTTCCCTGGTTGTGGCAAGCTGATTCAAACCAGGATTAACTACCTGTATGCTCAACCTGAAAAGCAGGGGGGAATCATGGCTGTTCTGGTGTATTTTTTGCAGAAACGATTATTTTGGGTGTATATTAGCATGTGCCCGCATCTGTGTGCACATTTGCATGTGTTAGCCACTTGCATGCATTCTGATGGTCAGGCTGGGTACAGCGCTAATTGCTTGCTTATTTTTTTAACTTCACATTTATTGTTAGAATGGGAAGTATGTATGTTGTCATACAAAATAGGTTTAAAGCAGAGGTTTGATCTTTCACCTGGGGTATAGGGGAGATTGTGTGAAGCAGCCTTTACTATTTCAATATGAATGTACTCTTTTATGGTTGGGTGCAAACAAAACTCTGTTCTCTGTTTTAGGATTTTTCAGGGCAGTTCGTCAGGAACCTGTCAAATTTGGAAAAATAGGTGGGGAGACTCACATTAACTATGTTCGCTGGTACGAGTGCGGAACATCAATACCCGGGAAATGGTAAACGTGATGTGAACCTGGAGAAAAGATCCAGCACTAGCCATCCCTCCAACTGCCCAACCCAGCTCAAAGATGGAAATGTATGGTATGCCTGTCACTTAAACAAGTTTGCTGACATGTAAGGTTTATGCAAGTCTAATGCCAATACTGCATTAATTGTGTAATAGTGTAGGCTGCTTACTGTAGTTATCCAGTTTTACAAATTTTAGATTTAAAAAAAAAAAAAAAACAGGTTAGGGACATGGTGTAGGATAATGTGTAGGGAAGCTGGCTCCCTATTCTTGAGGTATGGTTTATATGGTATTTTAAAAGATACAGTGTGTATATTATTTATCACAATTTTGTAATAAATGTTTAAGGCACAGTAACGGTAAAGTTGGTCATGGAATGCAGTGTGTGTTATTTTTTAAATATTCACTGGTCTTATTATAATGTAAGTGCCATAAGCTATCTGTCCAGATAAATCTGTAATGTCTCCCCCTTCGTAAATTATAGAAAAGACCCTACAACGTTTAATATCCTGCAACCAGTAAACTTGAAGTGCTTTCTCCTTACATGTACAAACAGTTTATATTCGTGCCTAGACACTGAAGCAGGTTTATAGTATGTGCAGCTTTAAACAATCAGGTTAGTATTTTTTTTCCATATTTTTTTCCATATTTGTTTTCAAATGCAAGCTTCACCTCCAGCAAAACAGTATGATCAGCCTATGACTAAAGAGTTAGAACTGTTACCCAATAACTTGGCAGTGGTTTGCTTTACTCTAATTAAAGCAGACAGGTACATACATACACTGAATAATAATAAAAATAATAATAATAATTAAACTGGGCTCCATTGCCGTGGCTTTTCATGAAAATGTAAGTTTTCAGAGAAACTTCATGGTTCAAAAACCAAGTGTATGTACAATGCAAGGAGGGTTTGGAAAGATAAGTGAAATGGAAAAAAAAAATAAGCTAGTCATAACAGCATAATCAGGTTTGTTTTATTTAAAAAAATGATTTAAAACATTGTTTGTTGGGGACAAATGGGAAATAGTGTTAACTAAACTGTTAAAAGTGCTTTACAGCAGTTAAAACCTCTCCCAAAGCTATTGTACTGCTTGAACATTTATGACCTAAATAAAGAGATGTAGTTTTTTTTAAGAAGTGTTATTCATTACATTATTAATGTATTGAAAAAAAATATGAACAGGAACACCCAGATATATATAAAGTAGAAATAGTCATTTATAGAAAATGCCTTATAAAGTACATTGCAGGTACACTGTACGCCGAATAAAATATTTTTTAATCAAGTGTTTCTCATTGTTTTACATGAAAACAAGTATTAGTTTCTGTGGCAATTGTTATTATTACAGGAAGCAGTTCATTCTGGAACAGGACCTTGTTAAATAGTTTGATGAGCACCTGAAGTGGTAGGTCTGACAAGCACCAGCAGTAGTTACGTGTTGCAGTTCACTGGATAAATCCATGCCTGATCTGAAAGCAACAGTATTTAAGAATGCTGAAGGTAGGAATGTGTTTTGCTCACTTTATTTCCTAACTTGTCTTTATGGGAGTTCAAGCAGTGTGTTCCAGTTCATTTTTTTGTTCCCTACTCTTGAGTTTTATGTATTCCTAGAATCCATAAGATGGAAAATAGTTCTAAGAGAATGTTTTGCCCATTGCTGTTTGTTGAATTTTTTACAGCTCTTGATCTGCCTTTTCTTGGCATAACATTGAGTCACTAGCACTGTGCTCCCAGGTTTTTCTGGGTGGCAAAGAACTTATGCTAAGTTGTTCCTTTTGGAGAGTTCTTCATTTAAAATATGGACTTGGCTTAATTTTTCAAGTAATAAACCGGTTCTTCCCCCTGCCCTTGTTAAAGTGAAAGTGGTAAGAGGTTAGTTCTAAGATTTTATATGTTAGTTCTTATTCATTTAGTAAAAGAGTTACTTGGCAATTAATTAATAGTAGTAGCACACAACCTCTGCAAAAGCAATCTAGTCACAACATTTCTCCGTTTACTCACCTAAAAATCTCTCTTGACTTACAGACCTGAGCACCACTGATATTTTCCTACGTAAGTGGGCAGGCTAGGTGTGCAGATGTCTTAATGTAGTTTTCTTGTTCTGCATTATCTAAATTTTAAATCAAGACCAGGCAAGTAATAGGTTCAGGGGAGTTTTATTAGCTTTCCATGTGAGCATTACAATTTATAATACATCATATCTAGTTTTACCTCTGGAATGAATCTAATTTAGTACATCATGTCATTAGTAAGAATAAGCCTGATAAGTGGGCTAAACTTCCAACTAGCAATTTAATATCCTTCAAACAAGGCAAGCTAGGATGTCAATCACTTTACAGACAGTTAGGCATTGTTTCCCAAAACCAACCCGGCCCCAACTTAAACTAGGAAGCAGATACAATTTAAAGCAGGAACGATTCGTGTGGTCATTCCCCCGCCCCAGCAGACTCTATAACCGACACTTAGGAAGAGCGTTTTGCCCCGTTACAGTTTGGGAACCTCTGCTGAGACCACCGGAGTCTGTGGGGATGGCAGGTGTGGGTGCGAGTCGCCCGCGCCCCACGGCAGCTCTTTACCGGTAGCCGGGCCCAGGCTGGGCATAGCCCTGGGGGCCGAAGGGGGGCCGAGTGCGGGCATAGGGGTTGGTGGGCCCGCTGGGCGGCGGGGTCATGGTGCTGCCGGGCGGCGGGGTGAAGCCGGGGCGCTGGTAGGTGCCGGGCGCTGCCTGGGAGCCCGGGGGACCGCTGTACGGGGCCGGCTGAGAGGCCTGCGTGGTGTAGGGCTGCGGGGGGAAGCTGCCCCCCGGGTACTGCTGCGGCTGCTGTCCCGGCAGCTGCTGCGGCTGCCCGGCAAAGGCGGTGGCTGGGGCTGGGGTTGCCTGCTGGCTGTAGGCCCCCGGGAACTGCTGCGCTGGCTGCGAAGGGGTTTGCTGCTGACTGTAGCCGGCTGGAAAGGTAAGGAGCACAGTGGTGAGGCACAGCAAGGAACCGCGGGCGTGTGTAGCCATACATACATCTTTCTTTAAATGACCACGGTGACGGCACAAAATCACGTAGTAAGCACAGAAAAGGCAAACAATAACGAACCCCGAGGGTTCCTGCCTTTCGCACGAAAGCACACGGCCTGGGTTGGGTGCACTACAAACAGCAGAACAGCAACAGCAGAAGGAGCAGTATAAAGTAGTTCTCCCACAGCTGACAAGAACTTAACAAAAGGACGAGCAGGATTTAATCATCGCATCACATTAAAAATAAAAAGTCTTCCTTGGCAGGTAAGGCAAAAATTTACCCTTTTTTCCCAACCGAAAAACTAAAACCAAGCTCTTAAGGAAACATTGTTAAGGCTTCGTACTCTTAAATCATATCTTTGGTTAAATCACAGATGTACTCATCTTTAAACATAGAGTTAAATATGAAAGTAGTTGTGCAGAAAAGAACACTTCAGTACAAAACTTCCATTTAAACATGTACCAAACTTGATTTCTCTGTACAAAAACAGCTTCCAAAATGATTTTTTTTTCTTTTTGAAGACTTTAAAATAACAAAAAGTCCTTTAAGGAAGAAATAGCTACTTTTATCCATCATGAAACACACCTGCAGCTACTTGCAATGAAAACTCTCCATTGACTGGAATCCTGTCAGCATTAAACACCAGATACACAAATTATTAAAAGTGCACAGCCCTAAACAGAAAGAGCAAGGATTGAAGAATGCATTGGAGTAAATTTTGAACTCACCTTGAAACTTGGGGTCAAAATTTACTCATGAGACGAACCTTGGAAGGGTCCGTTTTCACTACTGTGAGTAAATAAGCACATTGTTGCCTAGTAGATCTACTGGACGGAGTGGGAATGGATCCTGCTCTTGGGGGACATGGGTTTGAAAGGAGGTAATACTCACAGGTACAACATCAACAAACAAAACCTGTTTCTGATTTGGCTAATCATGGAATAAGTTAGGGGAAATGTACTGGAGCATGTTGTGAAGAACTAGGAATGCTGAACTCACATCGCACTACAAATTCCACAGGAACTTCTCCAGTACAACTGGGGATTAGATCATGGTAAGATATTACTGGTGAGTAATTTTTTTTTTCTCAAGTTTTTAAGTCTAAACAAAGTCAGATAGACCCTTTCACTTTCTCAAGTCTAATTTCAGCATAAGTAACAAAACTGTTGGAAGTCTGTCACGGTCTTCTAATTACAAAAGTGAGATGTCTGCAGGGAACAAAGTATCACTTAGAGACTCAAATCAGTCAGCTCTTGCACAGAGCCCAGGAACAAGGGATGAGGCACAAACCTTCAGTTCCAAGTTTTCTAGGGTTCTCATCCAAGATAAACATAGGAGTTTTTTCATAAACTCTGCAAATGTTCTCATCTACATCAAAACTGATGCACTTCCACTGTATACATTGTGCAAAAAAAAAGCCTTACAGGCTGTGTTCCGAGTCACTCAACAGTATGGGAGTCTTTTGTTTGTTTTAAACAATCTACATTAAAATAAGGAATGAGAAGTGCTTGTTACCATTTTCTAAAAGTATTAAATTGGAGATTTGTTAAGGAATCCTGCTATTATATATTCATCCCTCTACTTTAGCTGGATTATGATTCCTAGACTATACTATCCATTATTAGATGCCTGCTTCTGCTAAAGTAAATAACTGGAAATTCTGCAGTCGAGTATATTTTGGGTATATGCAAAACCTAGCTTTTCTTATTTGCAGCTAAACCGCTAATGCAATAAAATGGTCTCCTGTCAAAAGCAGCAGCACTTCTAGTTGAAGTATCAGTAACATCTACAACTTAAAACCAAAAAAGCCTATCACTTGAAGTTCCTCCAAAATTTAGTAAATCCTTAGCTCTTATAAACACCGTAACAACAGCTATAATTAGTGATCACACCATTAAATTGTATATATCAAGATCGTCCTAAATGCAAGAAATAGGATCCATCTTTATATACCTCCAATACTTAAGTAAGCTACATTGGAATGTTTTAGTTATTTAGTAGAATCCCAGGACTGCAGCCATTAATTAATCCTGAAGACTGCTTATGCTTCAGGTGATTTATTTCACTACTACTTTCAACCAATGCATTCTGCTAATCAATAAGTAAGTCTGTTGGGTCACAGTCAAGTAGGATTGAGATACCCAAGCTCCTACTCTAATAAAAATACACATAGCCACAGTGCTCTCTAACTAATGAGTTTTGATTCATGCCAGTCTTTACCAGAACCACAGGCACTCGGCACCCTGAGCTGCCCCACATATTTAGGAACCAAAGCTCACAGGGTCAGGTGCCGAAGGAGAGCTCGCACAACCAGGGAGCTGCTTACCTGGGTACTGCATACCGTACTGCTGCTGAGGCTGAGGCTGAGCCTGCGGCTGCTGGGCAGGATAACCAGGCTGTTGATACTGTTGGTACATCTGGCCTGTGGGGTGAGAACTTGTTTAGTTGAGGCCTAGCACCCGAGCTGTATTACAAACACAAGATGGAAAACATCCCAACGGTTCAAAGTGCAGAAATAAACTCACAACATGTGAATTTTTTTCTTAAAATCTGAAGGCAGCAAAGTTTGAGCATGTGTGTCACCTAATTACCAACTGAAACTAAATTACAGATTTTAGTTTCTGAACCATACCATTCTGTAGACAAAATTAATACTTCAGTTTGATGTGAGGCTTACTATTTCACATCTTCAAGGGGTATCAGCAGCCATACACTGTTGTTAGCACTACACTGGTGTGTAACAGAGCAGGAATCTTTATATGGCTTGATAACTGCTCCAGAACTTACTGCATAAACTGAAGTACTTCAAAAGTTAAACATGTCTTCAGATTGTCTGTTTATATTAGGTTTTTAAGACTATTTCTGTACCAAAGTAGTGTAAGCGGAGCGGTACATCATTCTGACCACATTTTCTAGACAGGTCATCCATCTCTTAATATCTGACTTGCTGCAAGCCACATTTTCTTAAGAGACCCGGGGGTATACTCCCTAAAACAAAAATAAAACCATACATTCTTAAGATCGGATATTCCAATTCAATGCTAATTTTCCTTAAGTTTACTTTTTCCATTTTCTTGGCAAGTAGAGGCAGAATATTTGTTTAGACAACCTATGGGCCCTGCTTAGGCTTTATGCTTCTGCTGTTTTTCATTTTAATAACATTCACAGTCAAAGAACAAAACTAATTATCTGTCAAGCTAAAGCTTAGCTAAACTGAAGCAAACTTGGAAACTTTACTACTATGAAGTGTTACTGTACCATTATTCATCCTGTAAAG